TATCCCCTGTGTGCCTTGATGCGGAGAATGGACGCCTAAAATTTCAAGTTATTTGAATTTGTAGAAAAAATTAAAATTCTAACATGAAATGAGGTCGTGACCGTCAGATCTGCCCAGATTCAATCTGGGCCGTTGAGCTCATATGTTCATATGAGCTAGTGGGCTAATCTTAGTATTTTCCATATATATATATATATATATAGTAATGATCCTATAGGACCCTCCCCCTCCTATCTGTGTAGGATCCCAATGGATCACCATTAAAATTGGCACAGATCTCTAGAAAAGTGATCACATGGGTATGGGACTTGACTTTTCTATAGATCCGTGCCAAATTTAATGGTGATCTTTTGGGGTCCTACACACATGGGTGGGGGAGGGTCCTATAAGATCATTTCTCATATATATATATATGTATATATACACTAATGTATATATAGATTATATATACACTAATGTATATGACCATATATAAACTTATTATCAGTTATATTTTTAGCGTATATTATATGTACATTGTTTTATAGCCATATATATAGGTTGAGCTAAAGCATTTCACCTTTCCCATCAATAGGTTTAGCTAGAGCATTTATAACACGACCTAAATAAGCCTCACTCACTGGTATCTGAACAATTCTTCCTATTGCTTTTACAGAACTGCTCCTCTTGTATCATTAAAACATCACCCATTAAATACAACACCAGCATTATTGGATTCCAAATTTGGAGCAATGCATATTATCCTCTCTTCAAATTCTACTAATTCACCTGCCATTACTTCATCAAGATCCCCTTCACCTTACCAGTATTGAAAATCTTTACTTCTCTATTATATTGCTCAATCCGTTCACAGATAATATTACTAATTTTGTTATCTTGAGTGGTTACCCTTAGTGTCTATTAATTCTTTTTCGGAAGCAAAACAAGATAAAGAAAAAATATAGTAATTATAATAATAGTTATGGTAGTGGAAAACTAATTAGTTATATTTTTCATGGTCACAAGCATGGCAATATTAGCATTGGTGGTGCGTAAATGTAACTCATTGTTCAAATAAGTATTCTGAGTTTCTAAAGCTCCTTGCAAGGCTTGTTGGAAAACTCGTTGTCAAACTTGATTCATCACTCTGTGTTGTTCAAAATGAATGCTTTCATTTTTGTAATTTTCTAATCGTTCTAAATTTTCATAAGCAGCATTAATAAATTTCCTTTTTTCTCGTTCTAATCTCAGAGTATCCATTAACTCGAAACTCATCGGCTTCAATTTCCACTTTATGTAAGTGAGCCTGGGCTTTTGCAAGCTGCTCAATGGTTCTCACTTAGTTGTTCTCAATTGCAAATCATACTCAAGATTCTCTGTTTTGGATTATCTAATAAATCAGTTAATGAAAGTAGCTTTTCTCCATATCAATTCCACAACTTCTATGATCTCTTCCCAAAGCGAACATGAATCTTTCTATTCATTTGGTTCTCACATTCAATTACTTATTGGACACTCCTGTATCTTTTTATTGAGCCCCCTCTCTCTGTCTTCTAAGATATCAAAACTGATAAAAGACTAGGATCCTTGGAGAGCTCTTCCTACCAGGTAACTATCAGGAAAGTCGTTTCTATTATTTGATTATCTTTAAATCCAAAGAATTTTTATCTTGCATAAGTTGTCAATTCAGCATTGGATAAAAAATGTTAAGAGTGCCCTTTTTTTTTACAGTGAATTCTCACAATTATTCTATCGATATGAGTGTTTTATATTGGATAAATTACCAACTCTTTGTTTTAAAACCATCTGTACCAACGCATTGGTAGAAAGAGTACCTTGTTGTGCCTAGACTTCACTTTAGTTTTAACCATGTAAATGGTCCTACAATCGCAAAATGCTATACTTTCTACTTATGAATTTTTTTATTTATTCATAAGTAATTCGTCAAGATCATGCACCTTAACTCTTTTTTATTTATTATTATTTTATAACTTGTAACATAACATCATTTATATTGTTATACAATTATTAATTAATAATTAATAATTATTATTTTACAATTATTATTATAAGTATGAGTAATTATTATTATAAGTATCCGTAATTAGTATTATTTTAAATTATTACTATTTTAATGTGTATATGTATATATTAGTATAATAGAATTTAGCACATTAGTAGAATAAAATTTATGTTCTATAGATAGAAATATCCCGTTATTAGAAGATGTATAGGGTTATTCTAGAATGCGGCACAATAATGGTGAACTTAGAATTTAGTAAAAAATGACCTTTTGCTATATATTATGGTCTTATCTAAATCCCTCCAAAACTCAATTTCAAATTCAAAAAGATTCTTTGGCCTTTTTGAATGATGATTGGACTTTAAAGGTCAATTAAAATTACAAAAATGCCCTTCTGAAAATTTTCAAGTATGCCGTTGTAATATACTTTTTTATATTTGTAAGGGCATTTGATGTAAAAAATTTTGGAGCACCTAATTCGAATTGGGTCTCACACACCTCTCATGCCACTTTTATAATAAAAGAAACAATGGATATCTCAAGGCATAATCTTCCTAGGGTTGTGTTGTAGCAGGTATTCCAACTCCAGCCAATATACCATTAGCTCTAAATTTGTTAGTGGAGGTTGCCGGAGATTATGGTGTCATGGATCTATCTATCTCAATTGGATTGGCTTCAGAAGACGAGAAAGAATGTCTTTGATGTGTTAAGGTCTTATTTTGCAACTTCGTTTATTCGCTGTGCTATTCATGTTTATTAGAGTTTTGCAGACGTGGTGTTATTACTTGGGCTGTGTTTGTTTTGATTAACTCTTAGTTACTTTCTCAATTCATTTGGGTCTCTTAAAGAGGCTAGTTTTTTATATATCCTTCATCTTTGCAGGTCTGCATTCTTCTGTTTTGAAAACACATATGGTTATTTGTGCTAGTTTCATTATTCGAATGGTATTTAATTTGCAATCATGTCTTCTTCTTTTATCAAATTCACAATGAATGTTATTTTACTGTATGGGGATCTTCCAGAGGATAGTATTTATGATTGGGTTGCATTTAATGTGCAAGTGCACGTTTGGATGACTTGTCATGCGTTTATGGCCACAATTATGTACGTATGAGAGCGCTAAACTGAACCAAACTGGACCCAAAGGCTGTTAAGTGTGTTTTCATAGGGTACCCAAATCAGGGTAAAGGCTATAGATTCTACAACTTGCCTAATGAGACAGTCATTCAGAGTCTAGAATCACATTTTCTTGAAGATGAATTCATGGTAGGGAAGGTTATCCATAAGAAGGTTGATTTCTATGAGATCAGGGATCAGGAACTTCCAACCTAGCCTCTAACCAGCTTAGTCGTAGTACTAAAATCAGAAGGCCACCAGAGTTCTTTGCCTATTTAGGAGAAGTCTATGAAAGAGTCAGTGAAGTGGAAAGTGATGTGCCCGCTACTTGTGAGGAAGCCATGAGGTATCCAAAACACAAGCAATGGCTGGAAGCCATGGAGGATGAAATGAAAACAATTAATGAAAATAAAGTATGGGAACTAGTCTGTCTTCCTCCGAATCGCAAGGCGATCAGATCGAAATGGGTACTCAAGAAGAAATAAAAGTCTGAGGGACAAATTCAAAAATATAAGGCTAGACTAGTAGCCAGAGGGTGCACCCAGATGGAAGGCATAAACTACCAAGACACCACCTGTTGCAAAACTAGTCCATTAGGATAATCCTCTCCATTACAACCCACTTAGATCTTGACCTCCATCATATGGATGTCAAAATGACATTCCTAAATGGAGAATTAGAACAAGAGGTTTACTTGAGACAACCTAATGGATTTGAAATTAAATGGAAAGAGAATATGGTGTACAGGCTCTTTAAATCCCTCTATGGCTTGAAACAAGTATCGAGGCGGTGGTTTATGATGTTGCATGCAGTACTGGCCAAGCACGATTTAAGCTCAATGAGGATGATTACTGTGTGTATTTTAAGGTCAGTGGGAGCGATATAGTGTTTTTATCATTGCATGTGGATGGCGTTCTAATTGTCAGTAACTCGCTAGGACTAATAAAAAAGACAAAGGTTATATTGTAATTGCTAGTAACTCGCTAGGATCAATCAAAGAGACAACAAAAGTTATATTGTTAGAAAATTTCGAAATGAAGGATATGGGAGAGGCCTCATACGTACTAGGAATCAAAATCATCAGGAATAGATCAACTAGATTGCTTCATTTGTCACATGCAACCTATTTCACGAAAGTATTGGAGATATTTCACATAATTGATTGCAACATATTAGCATACCTTTTGATAAGAGCATAAAACTCAGCTTGAAGATGTGTCCCAAAGATGATGAAGAAAGAGCATACATAGAGAGACTGCCCTACAGGAGTATTGTGGGATCTTTGATGTATCTTACCAAAAGGACCAGGCCAGACTTATTGAGTGTTGTCGTATGATTGGTGGGAGAAGGATAAGAAGGGACACCTTATGACAAGTAATAAGTGGTTGTCCCCATTGAAAGTGACTTCTCATATTACTTAAAGTGAGAAGCAATTTTTGTTTTAAGAGAGAGAATACGAGGGGGGGCATGCTCCATGTTTGTCTATTTCAAATTAGATGGTTGTGATGCCATGATTTCAATTTCAATGGTGATAAATGGCTTAAAAGTGTAATTTGGGTTTGAAGGGCACTTAAGTAATTTTAGAAAATTTGGTGGTTGGACTTCTCATATTACTTGAAGTTACAAGCAAGTTTTGATTTAAGAGA